CATTAAACCTCTCTTCCTTACTTATTTTATGTTGCTTGAGGGCAAGCAAGAAGTAAGTTTGGGGGAGTTGATGTTACTGCATATTACATGCATTTTGCATACTCATTAGTTATCTTTTCATGTATTTGTGTCACGTTTTAGGTTAGATTAGAGTCCTAGAGCATTCTTGCACCAGCATATGCATATTCCTTGCATTTTGCATCACATTTAGGTTGTTTCTGGCTGCTTTGGAGTCGTGGAGGTTCGTGGACATGTTGAGGCTGTTGTAGCAGTTCGTGGAAGCTCGGATATTTGCTAAGGATCAGATATCGAGTATTAGATCGAGCATGGCCGGTCGATCTAGGAAGTGACCAGAAGATCGAGAAGACCAGGCGATCCAAGGAGAATGATCGAGACGAGGATCGAGTGAAGCAGTCGATCAAATGGTACGGACGTAAATGACGCCATGTAGAGCGAAAACCAGATCGAGAACACCACTCGATCCAACCGAAGATCGATACCGAGATCGGATGCAACGCTCGATCCGCCGAAGACGATCGAGACCCAGATTAATCCGAAGACACGATGGTCACAGATGATCGAGAGAACCGCTCGATCCCGGAGTCGATCTCTGTCCTTTCAACAACTTTTTGCCGCTAGCGAGGGGGGGACCATCAGCTTGTTTTGGCCATTTTGGGAAGGCGGCGACGTCCTTTTTCCCACAACAACTTTTATCTTATCTTTTTTGTATGTTTTCTCTCTGGTTTTTGGGGAGAAAGAACACCATTGTCGAACTTAGAGTTTTCTTAAGCTTTGTAATCGAATCGTTTTCATCTTAATCTAGTTTTCTTTTCATGTTCATCGTTTCCTTTTCATGTTCATCGTTTCCTTTTTCATGCCTTACTTGATTTACCTTATGTGTAGTGAGTAGTTTATTTGGGTTCGGGGTTAAGAGGATTAAGGGGTCTAAAGGGTTTCGATCTTGGGGTTTTCTAAGTGTTTTAATGGCTATCTCTTCTAGGGTGTTGAGCTCTCAATGCTTGAAGACTCTCATGCCAAGAGCTTCACGATCCAAGAGGTTCCTTACCTTGACAGGATTCAGGGACCTTGGAAGATCACACCCTAAAGACTAGTTACCCCTTCCCAAAAGCCATGGAAGTTTGGGGGACTAGTTAAGCCACTCATTTGAAATCTGTTTTCCATGCCCTTCGACCTCTCTTTCCACCAAAAGCCATGGGTTTGGAGGAGAGGATGAAGGAGTGATCTATACCGAAAGCCACAGATAGATCTTGCTTAGTTTTCAAGGCTTAGAGATCCTCACAAAGTGAGTCGATTTAAAGTTTTCAACCCAAGGTCGAAACTTTGAAACCCCTGACCATGAATCTCAACCCTAGACCCTTTCTTTTAGCATCTTCGCATCTTATCTCGTCTTTCGCTTGATCTTTGATAGCATCCTGGTCGTTAGTTTTACTGTTCTTGCATTTTTAGACGAGATCGATTGTTATTGCTCGATCTAGTGGTCGATCCACTAGTCGAATTTTAGTAATTCGAAGCTTCGTCCTTTAATTATTCTGTTTAATCCTCGTGGTAGTTTGATCATTCCTGGTAATTTTAAAATAGGTTGCATTCCATTTAGTTGCTGCGTCTAGTTTTTAGAGATTTTCTCATAACCTATCTTGTTTCGCTTAGATTTGCATTAGTCCTTGTATTCTCTTTGCATTTTCTATCATCCTAGGTATGGATTGACTCTCTCTTGCATGCTGTACTACAACCTGTCTTGCATTTGAGTTTGATAACCTCATTGCATTCTCACCCTTGCAAATAAAGTGTCTATCAGCGAAGCTAAGTTCTCAAAGGGAAAATGTTATATTTAAGCAAGGACTCGCGTGGACCGTGCCACGTATTTCGGGGATACAGTACTGGTTGGGGAGTTAGACTTCCGGAGAAGCAAAAAAGATATCGACTCCAACTCTACCATGTTATTCGAGGGAATATGGTTTTAGCCAGAGGAATTAAGCTTTAGGAGAAGCGAACAAAAAGGGACATCAACTCCGACCTTATTTATATGTCCCGAGGGAGCACGTTATTGGTTGAAGGAATTACACTTTCGAAGAAGCAAACCGCAGGGTGGATAGACTGGATGTCAACTCCGACCCTATTCGCATCCAGGGGAGTATGTTATTGGTCGAAGGAATTATACTTCCGGAGAAGCGAACCATGAGACGGTCAGACTAGATATACGATAAAAGACTCCCTTTGACTTCGTCAGGCATCCGGGGGAGTATGCTTTTAGCCAAAGAAGTTAGACCTTCGGAGAAGCAAGGTGATTGGAACCTACCCTGATTGGGGCATGCATCTTGGAGGAGTACATACTTGCTCAGGACAGGAGGATATTGGCGTTCCTGGAGGAACTGATAGCTCGTCCACGGATGGACATCTCCTCAGAGGAAGTTTACTCCTTGTTTTGTAAGGTACTAGACAAGGAGCCGTCTTACTCTCTCTCCCCCCCCCCCCCCCCCCCGCCTTATCGGGGTCATAAGTGAGGTTATAACCTTATGTGACCATGGATACCGACATAAGATAACAATGCGGTTCAAAACACCGACCCAAGGGCCAGGGGTGACACCGTTGAGCGGATGAATAGATGGTCACTGCGTTGTGGGGGAGTCGCTACTTGAGTGCAGCTGGTGCGAAGTAGGGCATTTCTTCAAGGGCGTTACCTCGACTCCCTTACTGCCTAGAGAGTCTTTGCATTGTGCCTACGCGGAAGTTTCTGGATTTTAATAACGTGTTTGTGACGTACTCAGGCGGAAAGAGGCCGGGGAAGATTTCAGGAAGAGAAAACCTGCGAGTAGTCGATCTCAATTCCTGTGGTGCTTGAGTGGCAAGCATGTCCTCGAGAGGAGCATGCTGTTTTTTCGCACGGCCCACTGGAGGAGACTGGCAAGGAAGACCCGGAGGTCTGCAAGGCCGGAGCCTCGGGTTCCAGAGGAAGAATGTCCCGGAGGACGAGCAAGTCCATGAGGAAGCATCCTTAGAACACCGTGCTGTCCTCGGGGGAGCTGATGCAGAAAGGGCCACGGGGGGCTATCGGACCAGAGTCCTGAATTTCCAGAGAAATGGTGTCCCGAAGGACAAGCAAGTCCGCGAGGGAGCATGCTGGAAGGAGTTTCTAAGTGAAGACGTATGTGGTAAATGTGGTGCCTTCGGAGGGTTCGAACATATGCAAAAGATGAGTGCTAACATGAGGATACATGAGTAGGAAAATATATAGTCGTATGAGCATGAAATTGTGCGGTCATGCGAAAAGATATCACATAATCATACGAGCAAGAAATCACACAATCATGCGAACTAGAAATCATATAATCATGTGAGCGAGAAATCACACAATCATGCACGCAAGTAATCACACAATCATGCAAGCAAGTAATCACACAATCATGCAAGCAACAAATCACACAATCATGCAAGCAAGAAATCACATAATCATCCAGGCAAAAAATCACACAACCATTCAAGTAAGAAATCACACAATCATGCAAGCAAGAAATCACACAATCATGCAAGCAAAAAATCATATAATTATGCAAGTAAGAAATCACACAATCATGCAAGCAAGAAATCACACAATCATGCAAGCAAGAAATCACACAATCATGCAAGCAAGAAATCACACAACCATGCAAGCAAGAATTTACACAATCATGGAAGCAAGAAATCACACAATCATGCAAGCAAAAAACCGCACAATCATGCAAGCAAGGCAGAAACGAGATAACCCCAGAGTTACCTCCGGGGACGGCCACATTTGATCCGTGAGCAAGTATTCCGTGCAACCCGCCTCAGGGACTGAAGTGCCCAGGCGGTCATGTTCAACCTGTGCGTGCGGATTCCGTGCAACCCGCCTCTAGGGTCGCAACTGGTCATGGATGGCTGACGGTTCCCTGTAGGGGGGCGAGGTTAATACCGTTGCAACTGTTTGTTGGCGGGTTTCTTTGCGGTTTCACCTAAATTTTTAGCTGTTACTTAGACTCTCTCTTAGGCGAAATGCCATTGAGTCGTGAGTGCGATCCACGTGGCAGAATCCTGTGGTTTGAAGCGTGGTGTGTCACGTTGCACAGTGTGTCTTGCTTTCCATGAATCGTCGGTTACTTATTCTGTCACGAAGGACCGTCCATCTTCTTTTTCATTAATGGTCGCAAGGCTCGAGAAGCTAATAATTATAGAAATGCCCCCCGATTTTTGGCTTTCCTTGAGCGACACAATTGGTCTTCGACTCATCTACAGACTTCCGATCTTTTTTCTGATTTTTCCTCTGTCTTTTATCTCTCTTCTCGTTAAACTTGAGATATCAGCCGCGAGTTCATCTTCTGGTGCATGGTGTGCCCCCTTTTTGTGATCCGTTAGGGAGCTCGAGAGTGTGGCTCGGTCGCCTGAAGCGGCCTCTTCCTCTAACCGGCCTCCATCGATATGCACACTGGATTCTCTAGAGAGGGTCTTGGTGACGACCGACCCCGCTTGCTCCACTCTTTATCCTCTTTTTCTTGTTGGAAGGGATCGAGCGGATCGCTCTCCATCCCACTGTTTGACGATCCATGATGACTACATTTTGTACAGTTTCTGAAACCATTTTTCCCAAATTCTGGTCGACTTCTGCCGCTACATCAACATCTGCCCCAACCAACTCCATCCTTTAGTGTGGAGTCTTTTTAATACTTACTAGATTTTCTTGGATCTGTTTAGAATCCGTGTGTGCGACTCCATGATACTGCTGTCCTACAAGCTCCCCAACCTTAGCACTCACTCTCTCTACTATATCTTACATGCCAAAAATGACTGTTAAATTTCCATCCTCGGGAATCGTTCTGGGAGTGAGTCATTAAGTTGTGGCAGCTGTGGGAGTGTGTCATTAGTTTCTTCTCAACAAAAACTGGGACGAAACCAATCACACACTCCAATTTGTTCTCCAATAAAAATATGTACTAATAAATAAAAATTATAAACATTTTTATTAAATACATCTTCACAACGCGCAGGTGCAACCCCAAGGAAAAAGGCTGGGCTTTGACATCAATAGTCACTTAATTAATCCTATGAAAGCTATTCGAAGCCGTGTATTCTAGTTCCAACCCAAATCCAAAACACAGCGCGAATCGAGGAGGAAGAGGAGAAGAAAACCGAGCATTCGCAGATTCGCGCACTGAGGGCAGAGATGCTTCAGTGTATATTTCTCCTCTCCGATTCCGGGTAAGCGATCTTCAACCTTTTCTTTCTAGATCGACGTTGATCAGTTGAGACTTGTCTCGATTCATCTGTTGTTCTTCGGTTTTGTGTTCACAGAGAGGTAATGCTGGAGAAGCAGCTTACGGGTCACCGTGTAGATCGATCCATATGTGCTTACTTCTGGGATCAATCTATTTCTCAAGGCGATTCCTTTAAGGTATTGTAACATCTCTTTTCGATTGTCACTTCCTGGGTTCTTCCCAAAATACTGCATTACTGTGAGTTCTTTGATTTTTGGATTTGTTTGATTTGTCAAGTTTCAATCTTGATTCTTTTTCATCACCTTAGCTTGGTCCAAAATTCGATCTTTTGCTCTTGATTTGACTGTGTCTTATGTTTGGCTGGATAGTCACTTCCATTGATTGCTTCACCAACATATTAGTTTATAAATTCATTTGTTGATTTGTTGTTTTACAAGTTTCAATCTTTTATTATTTCATTTTCATGGCCTTAGTTTTGTTGAAATTTCAAGACTTTGACTTGTGGGTCAATTGACTGTGTCTTATGCTCATTTTTGGGATAGTTACTTCCAGTGATTGCTTCACCAACACATTACCTTTTCCAAATCGTTCGCGACGGCATCACTTTCTTAGCTTGCAGTCAAGTTGAAATGCCACCGTTAATGGCAATCGAGGTGAATCTCTTTTGCCTTTTATTCTATCCTTTGTAGAATCCAATGTTGCGTGAATGGTGGAATGTAATTCGCTGGCGTGTTTGTATCCCTGTGAAGTTTAGTTTCTTTGCAGAGTAGCTGATGTTCTGTCTGATTATCTTGGTGGGCTAAACGAAGATCTCGTTAAGGATAATTTCATCATTGTCTATGAGGTATCATTGTTCACCAATATGCATTTTATAAGCAAGCCACTTTAATATTTTTCTCAACCGAAACTATGGTGGCCATTATAGTTTCTGCAGTTCATCAGTGTAGCTCCTCTGTCCTGTCTTGTTTCTCTTGTGGCTCATTGGTTACTTAGATTTACCATTTGTGCGCATATTGTGACAAATAAAAAGACATTTTTGGATATATTACAGCGTTTGTTCTAGTGTCTAATCTACTCTGTAGTTGTGGATTCCTTCTAGTTGATCTTGCGAATATCTGTTAATCGTAAAGGTTTGTAGCTTGTATTGTTCGTGTTTTTCTAGGTAACATCGTAATGTCCTCATGTTTCTCTAGTTTCACTGTTCTTGGATTGCTTTTGACAAAAGCGATAATTGTAACATTTGCCTCCTTATGAGTGATTGTGTATGTCAAAGTTTACTTTTTTTTATGGCCTCACATTTTCTTGTACTGAGAATGATCAAACTTGTGACTTGTAGCTTTTGGATGAGATGATCGATAATGGTTTCCCTCTCACAACAGAACCAAGCATCCTTAGAGAAATGATAGCTCCACCAAATCTAGTCAGCAAAATGTTAAGTGTTGTAACCGGAAACGCTTCAAACGTCAGTGACACGCTTCCTAGTGGAACCGGCTCTTGTGTTCCATGGCGACCCACAGATCCAAAGTACTCTAGCAACGAAGTCTATGTTGACCTCGTTGAAGAAATGGATGCAATCGTAAACAGGTTTGTAAGATTTCACAAAAACCTTCGTTTAACTTTCAAGGCTCATATCTCATTTCAAGTATTGAAAACTGATTCAGGGATGGAGAATTGGTGAAATGTGAGATTTATGGCGAAGTTCAAATGAGTTCTCAGCTCACTGGTTTTCCGGATTTGACATTGTCGTTTGCGAATCCGTCGGTGTTAGAAGACGTGAGGTTTCACGCGTGTGTACGCTTTAGGCCTTGGGAATCTCATCAAGTTCTCTCCTTTGTTCCTCCAGATGGACAGTTCAAGCTCATGAGTTACAGGTTCGTCGATTCACATTCGGTTATTTGGCATTTGGGTATTCCGTTCGGTTTTCGGGTAATTTGGGTAAGGAGGTTTAGGATCCATATATGAACTGAGGAAAATTCGGTTCGTCTAGGTCTCGGTTCAATTCGGTTTGGTTCGGATAGTAAAACTGAGAACCCGATAAAAATTCGATTTGATTTCGGTCGGCTCGGATATTTTTATCCGAATTACCAAATACCGAAGTAGCCAAAGTTACCCGAAATAAATATTCGACCTACCCGAACCAATTCGAAATATCCGAAAAATAACAAAAACAAATTGTTCAACTTTGAATAAAATTTGGTTTGATTTTACAAAAGATAAATAGAATCTTTAATTTTGAAATGTATAACTAATGGCATTTGGATATTTAATACTTACTATTTATAATCGTAGTTTTGGGTCTTTGGTTATTTCGAATCTAAATATAACTGATTTTTTTGGGTATACAATTGTATTTCGAGTATTAAATATTTATTTGGTTTTGAGTTCGGTTTGAGTACCCGAAATGTTTCAAGCAAGACAATTTGGATATGAATGACTATCCGGTTTAGTTTGGTATCTCCTAATTCGGTTCTGTTCTTTCAGTTTTTGGGTAATTTGCCCAGGTTTAGTTTCATAGGCTAGATTTGTTCTTACACCTTAACTTCTTAGTTTCTAATCTCTTGGTTTCTATAATGTGCAAATTTTAGGGTGAAGAAGCTTAAGAACACACCTTTATACGTAAAGCCTCAAATAACATCAGACTCCGGTACATGTCGAATCAGCGTGCTTGTGGGGATAAGAACCGACCCCGGAAAGACGATTGAGTCGATAACATTGAGTTTCCAGCTTCCTCATTGTGTTTCATCCGCAGATCTTTCATCAAATCATGGAACTGTAACCATCCTCTCTAACAAGGTAATAATAAGTTGTCTGGCTTTTGCTTTGAGTTCACTTTCTTGATTTGGAAACTTTACTTTTTTGATTTGAGACTATGTTTGTAGACATGTTCATGGACAATCGGGCGAATCCCAAAGGACAAGACTCCGTGTTTGTCGGGGACACTAGCGCTTGGAACCGGTTTAGAACGGCTTCACGTGTTTCCGACATTCAAACTCGGGTTTAAGATAATGGGCATTGCTCTCTCTGGGTTAAGAATCGAGAAACTTGATCTTCAAACTCTGCCTCCTCGTTTGTATAAAGGGTTTCGTGCTCAGACACGCGCCGGAGAGTTTGATGTCAGATTGTAGTTTTCTGGTATGGTTGCTTTTTCGGTCAAACTCGAGTCTTTTGTGCCAAATTGTTTTTTCTTTCTTTATAAAAGAAAAAACCATACATCGAATGATTTTTGTGATTAATTTACGACATTTACGGTTCAGATAGGCTTGCTGTATGTAAGTAGCTTAATCCATAGATAGAGAGCATTCTGCATTTGCCTCCCTCAAATTCAAGTATGGTATTGGTAGTGTTAAGCGGATAATCAATGGTCAAAATTATCAAATTTCTAGCATAACTCTAATTCAGCGAAATAAATAGGCTAAATCACAACTATTAGATTTGACCAATAAATAAACGATTTAAAACACACGTTCATATTTAAACGTTTATTTTTCGGTTAAAGTCAATCACATTATATAGGTAATGGTTGGAGAGTTAATATACGGTTGGCCTATTGAACATAGACGAGTTGTTAAATACATATCATTGATTCAAAAAATTCATGTATGGTCAACATCAATCCCGTGCATCATCAATCTTGATGATGAGGTAATTGTTTTTCACCAAGATTCTAGAAATAAGATAGTTCAAAAATGATAAATTTGTAGAAAATTAGAAAAACACCTAGATGCGTGCGATTTATACTATTTACATGCTATCACGTTAAGAATAATAAGAGCATCCATATTGGTTTGGATCTCTAAAATAGGATATCTTTTGATATTACTTAATATAGATAATTAAAATTTAACTTTTAAAATAAAGAAAAGTAATTGGAAAAGAACAAGTGTCCAAGAGGGATTTTCACATGTTTAGAATCGATTTTCAAATGAGCAACTTTGGAAATTTTAAGAATCTCTCTCTCCTCTCTTTTCTACTTTTTGAAATTTCTTTTGTTTTTTAATATTAAGATATTTTTCTAAGAATTTCTTTAGAATCATTGATAGAGATGATCTAAAATTCTTAAAATCTAATAGCTGTGACCAACAAAAATTATATCAACTCCGTAATACAAAGTTGTTTTGTTAAATCACATCCTTAATGATGTTTAGAAGACCTTTAATATATATATATATATATATATATATATCTATTTTAATATAATCAGATTTTTTTCATAATAAATTTTGATATACTGTCATGTGGTACTCCAGAAGTTGCCATATATCATTTTCATATGCGGTACTCCAGAAGTTGTCATATATCATTTTCATATGTGGTGATGGTGGTGATGCCGATATTGGTGGTGGTGGAAGCGATGTCGGTAGTGATGGTGGTTGTGGTGGTAGTGGTGTTGGTGATGACGGGCCAATGGTGGTAAAAGTAATGGCGATGCCGGCGGTGGTGATAATGGTGGTAGTGTCGGTGATGACGATGGTGATGGTAGTGTCGATGGTGGTGGTGGTGGGTATAAGCGGTGCTGGTAGTGATGCGGTAAAAGATGCTAATATCAATGTTAATATGATAGTTATCATGTTCACAACGTTAGCATGATAAGTTTTCGATATGATAACATTGTTAAGATGATAATATCAATGTTACCACAATAGTTATCATGTTCACAACGTTAGTATGATAAGTTTTCGATATGATAACATTGTTAACATGATAACTTATACAGTTAACAAAGTTAACTCCTATTTTCATGAAATAATAGTAACGTTAACACGATAGTTATCATGTTAACTCGATATTTTATACAATATGCTAATCGAACAAAGTTAACTCCTATTTTTTTATGAAATAATAGCAACATTAATCCGATAGTTATCATGTTAACTTGATATTTGTACGATGTGCTAATCGAGCATCATATTAGTTAGCATAGTTAACACAGTTATCATGATATCATATTAGTTAGCATGGTAATTTAATTGTTATCTATCAAAACTGCATCAAATAATTATAAGAGTAAAATAGTCATAATTTCTATGTATAATATGTATCAGCCTAATTTTTGATTATTGGTTCCATTTTTCTAATTTTCCTATTATCTAAGTCCATTTACTAAATTTTCCCATAATAATTAAAATTTTGGTAAATAGCAAAGAGAAGTAAATTTTAATTCTAAAACATTTTTGTTATTTAGTTTAATTAAAAAAATTATTTGTCAAAAAATTATGTTACGATATAATCCCAACTTTTAACAATGTGAATATACGATTAGCATGTTAAACCATATAGCATATTATATAAAAAAATATTTAAATAATTTATAATATAATAAAAATATGAAATTAACGTATTACATTGATTAGCATATCATAAATTATCATGTCAACCAAATTATCAAATTATAAAATAATTTAAGATATAAATATATAAAAATTAGCATGTTAGCATAATTATCATATAATAAAAAAATAATTTATTGGGTAACAAAGTTATACAAAATTATATTGATAATAATTAAAGTAATTTTATTATGATTAACTTACACAATTAACACCATTGTTATCACTAAAATTGTTGTTATTGACATCATCGTTGTTGGTGTTATCATTATTAATATTTCTATCATCATCGTCCAACTCTGTTATCATTACTATTATTAATGTTACCACCCCAGTCTAAGCTATTGTCATCATTATTATCGTTATTGTTGTGGATATAGAAATCCACACTCAGAAAATGTAAAAGAAGATTAAATCGAAGGCTCCCCTAAACTAAGTACTTTGTGTCCTTTATATAACTCGCCTCGTCGAGCTTCAACCTCCAGCGCGTATCTCGACTACGTGCAGTAGCTTCAGCCGGAAATCTCGGCCACATGCAGCAGCTTCAGCCGAAAATCTCCGCCATATGCAGCAGCTTTTTCCGAAAATTTCGGACTCGTTTGAACTGGTGAAAATATGCGCCGACGGTCCAAATTCTTCCTTATTCTTCGGGACGACATCGAGCTACATCTCGACCTCGCCAAATGGTACACTGATTTTCAGGTTTGGACCATTGTGAGTGATTGAACCTGGGCCGTATGAACGAGGCCCAGTCAAGTGAGCTTAGTTTTAGGATATTGTTGTTGGACTTAAATGGACCGGATTTAGTGTGACAAATCCAGCTCCAACAATTGCCTCCCAGCCCATTAACGAGAACTAGCTCGAGCTTTAATGGGCGGCGAGTTGTTTCTTTCTAGAAGATTTCGTTTCTAGCGTGTTGTCGCCATGATGGTAAGTAATCATTCAAGATCGACCGTTGAGGCTACGAGAGATGAAGGATCCATCAGATCATATGGTCGAGGTCAATTTTCAAGATCATAGTTCAAACGACGAGATCCGGCAGCTGCTATCCTTTGTTTCGAACTTATCTTAGCCCGGAAGGGCTTTATTTTAGAAGAATTCAGGCGTTGGTGCCTTTGAATTATTTCCACTTCTTGCTTTCGGTTGTTCAAGTTGAACTTTTACCTAGTCGTTTGTTGACTAAGCGGAGTTGGACCAAAGTCATCGAGCTCATAGCTCGATTTGTTGGTCGTGAGCTTGTAGCTCGATTCATTGGTCGTGAGCTCGCAGCTTGAACCTTTAGGTTCTGTGCTCGTGATAACAGGTTCTTGGCATGCAATGATGTATCAAGATGCAACAGAGAGGTTATCAAAGCTCTAATGCACACAAATATGTAGTATAGTGAGCAAGAGAGGTATCAATCCACACCTAGGGGTAGCAAGTTCACTAAGAATGCAAAGGATGAGCAAAACTAATGATAAATGATTGGTAAAATCCCTAAAAACTAAATGCAAGTGTCAAATGCAAAGCAAAACAATTTTAAAATCCCTGGAAGAGGGTTAACTACCACGAGGAACAAGCAAAATTTTTAAAATGCAAAGCTACTAATTATTAAAAATCGACTAGTGGATCGACCACAGGATCGACTACTAGATCGAGCAACAACGATCGATCTCGTCTAAACAACCTAGAATGGTGAAATGATGCGATACGAGATTGACAAGAACACAACTTTATGATGATGGAATGATATTAACGACTTAAGATAATAAGAAAGAGGGTCTAAGGTTGAGGGTCACGTTCGTGGGTCTCAAAGGTCAAAGCTTGTTTGAAAACATTAGATCTACTCTATTTAAGAGGTTCTCTAGGCCTTGAAAACAAAACAAGATCCATCCATGGCGTGTGGTATGGATCACTCCTTCATTCTCTTCTCCAAACCCATGGCGTTTGGTGGAAAAAGAGATTGAAGGGCATAAAACATAGATTTCAAACGAACGACCTAACTAGTCCCCTTTACAACCATGGCGTGTGGGAAAGGTAGACTAGCCTCTAGGATTCGATTTTCCAGGACATCTGAATCTTGTCAAGGTAAGACATCCCTCGGGTCTTAGAGATCTTGGCGTGAGAGTCTCTAAGCCTTAAGCACTCGAAATCCTAGAGGAGATGGTGATGAAGAACAAGAAAACATAAGGCTTTAACCTTTTCGACCCTTTCGAATCGCCCCAGCCCCAAAACCCAAATAGACTACTCACGACTCATAAAGAAAACCGATGAAAGCATAAAAGACGATCTAATAAGCATGATAAACAGAGATTAAGGCTAAAGATTCAATATTCAAAAGTTAAAATGCAAGAAGAAAGCTTCAAAATTCTACAATAGCGGATTCGCATTAAACGAGAGAGAACGAAAAAGGTAACGACAAGATGGCGATAATGAAAGGGATCGTTGCCTTTTGCCAAAAATGGCCAAACCGCAAATGGTCCCCCCTTCGCTACGGTCCAAAGCCAGCTGGACGGATAAGGTTAGTCTGGGATCGAGCACAAAGCTCGATCTGGCTCTCGATCTTCGTCTTGGATCGGATGGCTCTAGTCGATCTCTGACTCGATCTTGTGCTGATCGGGTTGAAAGCTCGATTCGGTCCTCGATCTGCATGGCGTCATTTACGTCCATACTTCAGATCGATCTCCACACTCGATCTTGGTCTTGATCCATTTCCTTGCATCGAACTGGTCACTCGATCTTCTGGTCGATCTCGTCTAGATCGACCTGCCGTGCTCGATCTGCCACTCAATCTCGGGTCCTTAGCAAGCACTCCTGAGTTTTCCAAGTGTCCACGACCTTGCTCACGAGCCTTAGCACGTCCACGAATCCTCCAAAGTTCCAAAGTAGCCGAAAACAACCTGAATGTGATGCATAATGCAAGAAATATGCAAATGCTAATGCAAAAGAGCTCTAGGACCTAAAATGATGCAAACTAGCCTAATGTGCAAGGTAAATGCATGAGAAACTA